CATATGGATATCCAGTTGCTCCTGCACAGTATTTGTTGAAAACTTTTCTTTCTCCACTGGATCACTTTCTTATCCTTGTCAAATATCAATTAACTCTGGCCTGGTGATATACCCCAGTGGTAGAGTGCATGGCTAGCATGCATGAGGCTTTGGGTTCAATCCGCAGTACCACTAAAGGAAAACAAAAAGCAATTAACTCTATAAGTGTGGATTATTTAAAGACTTATATTCCATTCTGTCCTATTGACTATTTGTCTACTGTTAGGCCAATATAACATTTTCATTACTGCTACTATAGTCCTGTGTGAGTGTGTTTCATACTGGGGATTGAACCAAGGGGTGCTTTACCACTGAGCTACATCCTCAGACCTTTTTTTATTATTATGAGACAGGGTCTTACTAAGTTGTCCAGGCTAGTCTCGGACTTACAATCCTTCTGTCTCAACTTTCTCAGTCACTGGGATTATAGGCAAGTGCCACTGCACTCAACTACTCTAGATCCTTTGCCTACAAATCTATATTTAAAATTAACATGTCAGTTTCTGGTTTTTTTTTTTTTTTTTTTTTTAATCCTTTGATCAGGACTATCTTGAACTGATTGATCATCTGGAAGAGAACTAGTAATAATTTGTCTTACAATGGATGAATATGGTATACCTACCAATTTACTGAAGGTTTTAAATTTTTTTCTTAGTAATATGTTGCATTTTCAGTGGAAAGGATTTTATTTATTTATTTTTTATTGTTATTGTTAAATTTATTCCTAAGTTTACTATTGTGTTTTGAGATGGGGTCTCACATGCTATGTTACCCAGGCTGGACTTGAACTTGTGTTCCTCCCAGCTCAGTCTCCCAAGTAGTTGAAATTACAGGCCCATCTCCTAAATATACATTTTTTGGAGGGGGACTGAGGATTGAACATAGGGGTCTTTAACCACTGAGCTACATGCCCAATCCTTTTTTTGGACTTTATCTTGAGACAGAGCCTTGATAAGTTGTTTAGGAACTCACTAAGTTGCAGAGGCTGCCTCAGCCTCCCAAGTTGCTGGAATTATAGGCAGAGGTTACTGAGTATACTTTTTGAAACTAGGGTAATGGGAATTTTTTTTTTCACTATTTTCAACTGCTTGTTGTTAATATATAGAAATAAAGTTTTTATAAGTTTAATTTGTATTCGGGTAACTTATTTATTAGTTATAGTAGTTACTGTTGATTTTATGGTATTTTCTATGTAAAAAAAAGAAAAAACTTGTTACCTATGAATAGGGACTGGTTTTACTTCTACCTTTCCAATTTTTATCGTTTTCATTTCTTTTCTTGCAACAAACACTGGTTAGGACCTGCAATAAAATGTTGAATGGAGATAGTGAGAGTGGGCACCCTTATCTTGTTCCTGCTGAGAGGAAAAGCATTCATTCAGTCTTCCACTATTAAGTGGAAGATATATATACATATATATATATATTTGTAGTTGGACACAATATGTATATATATTGTGTGTGTGTATATATATATATATACACACACACATATATATATATATATATATTTGTAAAGCATTCATTCAGTCTTCCAGTATTAAGTGAAGATATATATATATATATATATATATATATACATATATATATATATATATATACACATACACACACACACATATATATATATTTGTAGTTGGACACAATACCTTTATTTTATTTATTTATTTTTATGTGGTACACGTGCTAGGATAGCACGTGCTAGGCTAGGCGAGCGCTCCACCGCTGAGCCACAACCTTAGCCCGAGCTATAGGTTTTTCATAGATGCCATTTGCTAGACTTAGGAAGTCCCCTTTTATTCCAATCTGCTAGGCCTTTTTATCATAAATGTTTTCTTTAATGCTTTTTCTATCTATATCAAATATACAGTCTCATATACTGTAACCAAAGAACACCTTTAAACAGTTCCAGAGCAACTTGATTGTTGCTCCCCAACCCAATATGATATTACACATCAATATGGGAATGCTACATTTGAGATTTGAATATTATTACTTTGTTACATTAATTAGGATATTATATTTACCATTTAAAAACTATTCCTCGACATAATAAACAAAGATATTACCAAAGTTAGTATTTTTCTTGATCCACATTTTGTTTCACATCTGAAAGAAACCTAACTCAAAATTTAAAACTTATTTTAAAAATCTCTAACAATTATCGTGTTCAGTGTTGCTCCTATTAAATTTTACACTAACCCACAATATTTTTTTTTCTTTTTAGGTATATACGACCCACAATATCTTTTAATGTCCTGTGCTTTATAGTTTGTATTAAAATGGCTACTTGCAGCAACTTGAGGCCGGAGGATCACAAGTTCAAAGCCAGCTTCAGGTATTTAGCAAGGTCTGAGGCAACTTACTGAGACCCTGTCTCAAAATAAAAAATAAAAAGAATGGGGATGTGGCTCAGTGGTAGAATATCTCTGGGTTTTATGCCTAGTACCAAAAACAAACAAGAAATCCTAAAATATTCTTAATAAGTGAAAATTGAAAAATACTTAAAAATAGGAAAAATCAACTAATTCTTACCAACCAAATCAATTTTTTTCAAGTCGTATTTTCTATAGTTTTCCCTTTTGTTTTTCATTTAACTGAAATCATACTGCATATAAAATTTTACACCCTGTTTAAAAATTTTATTCCAATTATTTTATTTATAGCTAATACTAAAAGATAAAGTTAACTTAAAATATGTCCAGGTATCACAATACTAGTTAATTTACACTATTTACCACTTGCACAAAAAGGTTATTGTAGGTTAGATGTAATGACTTGACTGTCTTAACACAACTCACCAGCTATGTACTTTTAGGCAAGATACTTAATCTCTATAAGTGTGGTCATAAAAAACATACAAGATTAATACAAAAATTTAATAATATGTTAAGTTTTTAGTATAGCACACAGCAAATACTTAACAAATATTAGCAATTATTATTTCATTAATACAATATAATCTCCGAGATTGTGATTGCCTACCCAGCAGCAGTGCTAAATTGCAGTCAAAGAATGAAAAAGGAAATCAGTAAATCTGAAATATCAATTTCAATATTTGATGGTGGATTACCTAGACCAGAAGTTAGTTGTCACATGTAGATGTGTTTTATTTAGAATTTTTTGTTCTCCTCTTTGTGGTGCTGGGGATTGAACCCAGGGACAGATGCATGCTTGGCAAGCTCTTTACCACTGAGCTGCCTCCCTAGCCCTTAAATTATTTTAAAAAGGCTGTCCTTGAATTTGCAATCCTCTTGCCTCAGCCTCCAGAGTTATTGGGATTACAGGCTTGCCCCATTGTGCCTGACAAAATCTAGATTTCTGATTTCTCTTGAATATTAGATGTGACAACAAGGAGTCCAAATGTCTACAGGGCATCTATCAGCTGGAGTTCAGTAGCAGATGCTGTTCCCTTTAGATGGCACATGTCCTTTTTCATTTGCTTACACCATTCTGTTGTGCCTTTTAACCTGATGGTTTCACTCATTTATATTAACTGATTGGTTCCTGTAGTCATTCCAATTGGAAATCTCTGGGGTTTCTTTGGTTAGTTGGTCGGTTGATTTCGTTTGTTAGTTTTGCAAATATGCTAGAGAGACTTGAGGCTTATTCAGGTTTGTTTTTTTTTTTTTTTTTTTTTAGTTGTATATGGACACCAAATCTTTATTTATTTCTATGTGGTGCTGAGGATGGAACCCAGTGCCTCACATATGTGAGGCAGGTGCTGTACCACTGAGCTACAGCCCCAGCGCTTATTCAGGTTTTAAGTGGGCTATTTAATGTGTAATGCTTTTTACCTTGCCTCACAAAATTTGCTTTTCTATGTAATGTATGAATAAACAGATGGAGAGAAATGTAAACACAGACATCTTTTAGGATGTTAACTAAGATATATTCAATCAAAAGTCTATAGTTGTGACAAATTTTAAAACTACTTAACATTTACTTCTCAGAGGTAAATTACTATTACTCCAGATGACTAGGAAGTCAAGACCGCTCTATATTTGTGGCTGTCTAGCCCTCAAGTCAGTCATTACAACTGTTTCAGTTGTCCCTTATGTACAAGATAATATTGCATAACTAGAAAAATGGGGGTGATCCAATGCAATAAAATGTCTATGTTGTCTAACCCGCCCTCCCCGCCAATTCCTTCTGGCTCCTATTAGAGGGAAAAGTGTTTCATGGTAAGTCATTCAGAAAGGGGGGGGGAGGGAAAAGTCATTTCTTAAGATTTATGTCTGGACACTATGTAGACAAAAATTCTCAAAGGGGGATGGAGAAAACGAGGAGGACTCAGAGCATCAACAATTAAGTCCATCCAAATCGTTATAAAGGGTGTTAATACTAACCTCAGAACTTTAAATGAAAAAGATGTAAACCTCATTCACTGGAGTCATCTTTAGTATATAGTGTAAAGCTGTGTAAAGGATATAATTTAGCCATAAGCACTATCTGTATGTAGACCAGAACTGGGGTGACGGAAATTGTAAGGCCCAAGGTACGCATTATTATTTTATGATACGTTCTCAATCATCCCCAATTCCTCTTCTTCTAGGAGGGGTGGGCGCGCGGCTGTACGCGGGCACGACGACAAAGAGGCTGAAACGCAGGCACCCGCCGGAGAAAGCACTCTGGGCTAGAGGCGGAAAGGGACACGGCTACCGGGGAGGCGCCCCCTGCGATGCTCTGACGGCCGGGTGCGGTGCGGAGACGCGTAAAACGCAGCAGGCCGAGAGTGCGCCGCGCCAGGGCGGAACGCCCGCGGGGAGGCGGAGGCGCGAGTCCCGCCCAGGCCCCGCGTAGCCCGGGGCTCACGCCGCCGCCTGGCAGGCAGCTCGGCTAGCGCAGGCAGGGCCCGCGAGCAGGCTCCGGGCACGCCCGCCGGGCCTCTGCCCCGCACCGCTGCGCGGCCGTTACCCCGCCCCTCCCCCGCGTCCCCAACCTGCGGCCGCCGCCGCTCACCTGGTGGCGTCCGCGACGTTCCTGACGAACAGGGAGGTGTTGGGGGGCCTCGTGTAGCGAGACATGACCGCTTCCTACGTTCCCTCCGGTCTGCCCGCGGCCACTGGGCCCGCTCGTTCTCTCGCTGCCGCCGCTGCCACAGCAGCTCCGACGGCCCCCGGCGCGACCCCCTCCCCTCGGCCTCGGCCCCGCCAGCGCGCAGCCGCAGAGGCCGGCGCGGAGGGGGCGCTGTGCGGCGCGAGCCTGTCCTCACGGACAGCGGGGGGCGGGGGCCGCGGGCCGGGGATCCCGGGTAGGGGGCGGGGGTCCCGAGGGCCGAGGGGAGCCGGGACGGCCCGAGGCCCGCGGAGTCCCAGAAGATTGGGGAGGGGGCGACGGGGCTGTGCCAGGAGGTAGGGGTCTGGGGGCCGAGGTGGCGAGCCCGGGCTTGGAGAGGATCCCGAGAGAGGAAGGCGGTAGTGGAGGTGAGAGTCAGCGTCGCCGCCGCTGGGGCCTTCGTTGCAATATTCTCAGGCCCAAACCTGAGCAGTTGTTAGGCCTCTTGGTCCTCAGGTTTTCGAGGTATCTTCAGGGGGAGGGAGGGAGGTAGCTCCTCCATCCCCGCTTAGCGTTTTGATCCATTATTCTCTTAGGGCGTTATATTCAGCTTTGAGAACATTTATTCAGATGTTTGAGAGCCTGTTATGCAGCAGGAACTATTGTAGGTGTGGGATAGAGCAATAACCTAGCAGTGGAAGTCTCAGAGATTACATTGTAGAGAGGGGGACGTGGAACAAACGCATACACTGTAGAAAAAAAGCAGTTGATGCAGTAACAGTTAAACAGATTTAAATGATACTCTCCCCATTCTTCAAAATGTTGTAGCCCATCCCCTTCTAGTTTTCCTCTTGCCTTTTTGTTTGCTTCTATTGTGGGATGGCCACCAGGTAATTCACAGTTATTACCCTGTTGTAGGATAGAAGCTCCCAAGGTCTGTGATGCTTCTGGAAAGTGATTATTTATTCAAAAAGGATTGTTTTGCCACAGTTGGCACAAGACTAGACTAGGAATATAATGGTGGGGAGGGGAGGCAGGGTTCCTTTTCATGAAGCTTACAATCTGGTAGAGAAATTTTTTGTTTTTAAATCAATTAATTTTGCTGTGCTGGAGAACTGAACCCAGAGGCTTACTTTTGTTAGCATTCTATCACTGAGCTATTCGGCCAGCCCCGAAGACGATAGAATCTGATACACTGGTAAAGATACCAACTACAATAAGGACTATTGAAAAGAACTATATGCTACTGAGAGGGAACCTTATGGTGATGAGCAGGGCTAGAAAATCACTTAACTTTTCCCTGAAGAGAGAATTGAATGGAGAAGATCAGTTGGTGCATTGGAACACCATGTGCAAAGGCCCTGAGGCAATATAGGGAATGAAAGGAAAGGCATAGAGCTAAAAATGAGAAAGTAAGGCTGGAGAACAAAGTTTCATAGGAAACTTTGGAGTGCTGACTGTTAATAGTTTGCTGGAGCTGTAATAACAAAATGCCAGAAATTTGGTGGCTTAAAACAACAGAAATTCTTTTTTCTTACAGTTCTGGAGGTTAAAAGTCTAAAACCAAGGTGTCCACAGAGCCATATTCCCTCTGAAGGCACTAGAAAAGAATCCTTTCTTCTTCTTTCAGTCTCTGGTAGTCCAAGGCATTCCTTGACCATAGCTGCATAGCTCTAGTCTCTATCTTTGTCTTCATACCACCTTTACCTCTGTTTTCTCTCTTTTTACTTATATGAGGATGCTCGTCATAGAGTTAATCCAGAATGATCTCATCTGAAAATCTATAACTTAATTATACCTTCAAAGACCCTTTTTCCAGATAAAGTCACAGACTAGGGATTATAATTTGGACATTGTTTTTTTGAAGGTCTCTATTTAGCCCAATGCATTGACTTTGCATAAAATGAAACTTAATTTGCTGATTGGCCAGTTAGGCTACATATTGTTAAGTAGAGGAAAAATAATTTGCTAGCCTCTATGTAAATTATGAACCTAATTAGTTAAAAGCCTGTTTATCTGTATGTTATGTGTAAATAGAATTTCCATGTGAAAGCATCATAGTTTGATTTTTACTTTCTTTTGCTTACCTTTTGAAACTTTCAGATTATTGCTAAAGTGCTTTTATAATTAGAAAAAAACAAAACAAAACAACCACAAAGTGCTTTACAGTTAAAAAGAAAAAAAAATCTAGGAAAATGTGAAAAGACTGTGTGGCCAGGCCTGGTGTCTTAAGCCTATAATCCCCACAGTTTGGGAGGCTGAGGCAGGTGGATCACAAGTTCAAAGCCATTCTTGGCAATTAAGCAAGGCCCTAAGTAACTTAGAGAGACTCTGTCTCAAAAAATAAAAAGGACTAGGGATGTGGTCCAGTGGTTAAGCACCTCTAGGTTCAATTGCTGGTGGTTACCCCCCCCCCCCCAAAAAAAAAGGCAGTGTAGATGGCATCTCTGATAGGATCTCTGTCCCTATAGATGGAAGTATCTGAGGAAAGAGTCAGACTGTGAAAGGAAGTTCCATTAGAAACTTGAAATGTAAAGATAGTTGGAATTGATTTAAAAGTTGTGGAACCATAATTATTTATATTACATTAAAATGTCTGCTCTTCCTATATTCAGATATGATTTGAGGCAAAAAAAAAAAAAGTCAGTGGGAGCAGCTACAGATGTGGCTCAGTAGTTAAGTGTCCCTGGTTTCAATGCATTGAACCTCAAAAACATTCACATTTAGCCTATGTCCTAGAACTTTAAATCCTATTTAGCAGTGTTACTTTATTGAATCATTACTTTAAGGCACTGAATGGTACTCTATAGTCTTTCTAAATTCCCAAAGGATTCCCAAGGAATGTACTACTAGAAAATCTGAGAATTATTTAATATTTGTAGCTCTTTTTCTTTTTGGTCCTGGACATTGAACCCACTGAGCACTTTATCACTGATCTATATCTCCAGTCTTTTTTATTTTTTGTTTTGAAACAGGGTCTCACTAAGTTGTTAAGGGCCTCACTAAGTTGCCAAGGCTGACCAGGCATGCTTGTAATCCCAGTGACTCGGGAGGCTGAGTCAGGATCACAGGTTTGAGGCCAGCATCAGCAATTTAGGAAGACCCTATTTCAACAAATTAATTAAATAAAACAGCTGGGAATGTAGCTCAGTGGTAAGAGCCTTTGGGTTCAATCCCCAAGGCTGGCTTCTAACTTGCAGTCCTCCTGCCTCAGCTTCCCAAATCACTGGGATAACTGGTGCACCACCGTGTAGGTTTATAGTTTCTTTTTTTTTTTTTTTTAAATCTTTTTTTTTTTTTTAGTTGTAGACAGACACAATACCTTCATTTTATTTATTTGTTTTTATGTGCTGAGGATCGAACCCAGTGCCTCACACATGCAAGGCAAATGCTCTACCAACTGAACCAACCCCAGATGTAGTTTCTTTTTTACAACAGAATTCAATATATTGTTCTTTGCAGTTACTATTATCCTTTTCTATTTAATACACTTTAAAAGTTACAGTCTATTTCATGCTTCTTAAAATTTTCCCAAAGATTATATTCAAATATATTTTAGGAAAATTGGTGTTCTTTTCCATTTAAATACTTTCATTACTTTATTTCACTATTCAAAAGTAAACAAATTTCAATTTTTTCATTGAAACCACAGTTGTATAAAGTGTTGAAAATGAAATTCAGAATCTTTTTTTCTACTTGTTAAAACTTGTCTTGAAAATAGTAGTCTAACTTCTCATAAGAGATATACAAGAGCTCAACAAATATATGAAAAAGTGTTCAACATCTTTAGCAATCAGAGAAACACAAATAAAAACTACTCTGTGATTTCATCTCACTTCAGTCAGAATGGCAGTTATCAAGAATACAAGCAATAATAAATGTTGATGAGGATGTGGGGGGAAATGTACACTCTTACATTGCTGATAGGACTGCAAATTGATGCAACCACTTTGGAAAGCAGTGTGGAGATTCCTCAGAAAACTGGAAATGGAACCATTGTTTGACCCAGCTATCCCACTCCTTGGTCTATACCCAAAGAGGACTTAAAATCAGTATACTATAGTGACGTAGCCACATCAATGTTTATATCAGCTCACCTCACAATAGTTAAACTGTGGAAGCAACCTAGATGCCCTTCAATAGATGAATGGATAAAGAAACTGTGTATATATACACAATGGAATATTACTCGGCATTAAGAGAGAATAAAATCATGGCATTTGCAGGTAAATGGATGGAGTTGGAGAATATAATGCTAAGTGAATAAGCCAATCTCAAACAACTAAAGGCTGAATGTTTTCTCTGATTAGTGGATGCTGATCTCTGATGGGGGGGGGGGGGGGGGTGCCATGGGAAGAATGGAGGAACTTTGGATTGGGCAAAGGAGAGTGGGGAGGCATTATGAGGATAGGAAGATGGTGGGATGAGATGGACATCATTAACCTAGTACATGTATGATTGCACTAATGGTGCATCTCTACACCGTGTACAACCAGAGAATTGAAATGTTGCACTCCATTTGTGTAGGATGAATTGAAATGCATTCTGCTGTCTTGCACAACTAAGTAGAACAAATAAAAAATTAAAATAGTAGTCTGTGCTGGGCACAGTAGCGCACACCTGTAATCCCAGCGGCTTGGGAAGCTGAGGCAGGAGGATCAAAAGTTCAAAACCAGCCTCAGCAACTTAGCAAGAACCTGTCTCTAAATAAAATATAAAAAGGGCCAGGTTGTGGCTCAGTGGTTAAGCTCCCCTGGGTTCAATCCCTGGTACAAAAAAAAAAAAAGGAGTCTACTATATTTAAAATAAAGGAACATATGAAGTTATTTTGAATGTTTAATTGCTTAATCTTGAGACCTGTCTCTGGGAAAATTGCTGATAGCAAAATTATTGTCATTTAGAATCCGTGTACTTAAGACCTTTCCTCTTATTCTCTACCTCATTGCCCACATTCTAACACCCCCCACATGGTGGCTTGAATCCACTGACTGTCTCTTATACTCTTTCTGTCACTCAAGAACAACTATTGTAAATGTTCAGGAGAAATACAACCGTCTCAATTTCATCAGTAGAT